CCCTCGTCATCGCACTACTGGCACTGGCTGCATGTGGCTCCTTATCGAGCTCAAATTCTCTATCTGCAACGTTAGTCATCAAGATCCTTGCCAAAACTCTCCGTCACCATCGTTACAGGTGGAGACCTGGTGCGTCATCTAGAGAAGATGTCAGGAAGAACAAAATTAGATGACAATATGAGGCAAAACTAGTATGATGAGACAAGAAAATAAAACTATATCAAGTAGCAAATCTATTATATTGCTATGTTCGACTCTCCCTTGTGTTGTTGGACTACGATTACCTTCAAAGCATGGGAAGTTACCAGTTCATCTGTAGGCCTCCGGCATCTATCTGTAGTGTTCAATATAGGTACAGTCCTCAACATCCACTTTCAAACTCAGATGAATCGTCATAGGATATTATTCTCTTCTGAAATAATGTTTGCCAGAATATGTTACAAGGGGCTCCTATAAGTTTAGAAACATTGATTTTGGAATCCCAACCATTTTGATTGAGAATTATTTACTCTTGACAAAAGATCACTTTGTGTCACAAAAGTTTAGTTTCCAAAAGAAGACACTACAACCATTTAGTCTATAGGGATAGGCTTTTCCAATAAAGATTCCCAATGCCTAAACACCCATCAATTCAGGCAAAATATACACCTCCCAGCTGACCAAATAATCCCCATATAGTCCATAGAATTAGGCCGAAGAAATTCCTCATCACCCTTCGATTACTCTGCAACACATACAGGGATTTTGGATAGAGAGATAAATGCTTGGATGCTGGAGACACATGCTTGGATAAGAGAAGCTCTATCACTAATAGTAAAAGACTCCTTTTGAACACTCAAAAAAGCTTAGAGATATATGTGTGATGTAGGACAAATAGGATTGATTTGTCTAATTAGGAATTCGGGGTAAAAAAACCTTGAAATCATAACTAGATTTTCTTAAACATGACATCTAAAAGTCCTAAGTATCACACTTAAAGGTTTGATTGCATCACAACAACTAGAAAACTGAAGAACTCTCAAAATATTTTTGAATAACTTGAATTGAATAATAAATGAAATCACAAAGCTATTTATAACAATTTCTAGTTACTTTTCCTAACTGAAAGTAAAGTAAGAAGTAGTAACTTAATAGAGTTAATAATATTAGTCCTGATATAAATAAAAAGTGATACTAATAAGAATAAACTCCTAACTCTAATAATAAAATCCTAAGTTACTAAAACTATAGTAATACTTACTAAATAATATAATAATATCTGAAATAGTATGGTTGTTTTACATTTAATATATTTGTAATGTACTTAAAAATCTAGTGCTAAACCATTCCGCATTATTCTCCCCTGGTCGAAAAAAATTCATCCATCAGTTTGGAAGTGGCAAATGATGTAAAAAGACCTTTATATATGAGGTTTCTATAAAATTTAGCAACCTTTGTGTTTGGTTGTTCTCCCCAATACCTAAAATAATTGAAAGGCACAAAGTTTTGGAGATAATCATTGGATTATAAAATCAACATGTTGACCACTTGATATGTCAAATCTGTTGTTGCATAGAATTTTCATAATGTTGACTCTTGGGGAAAGATATTGAACAATAGGAAGACGTAGTGATTCTTCTTGCCATCTATAGAGTTTACTCTTAGGAAAAAATCTTGAGCAATAGGAAGATGTAGTGATTCTTCTTGCTCTTCCCCTTTGGAGTCTGACGATAGGCACTTTAACAAAAAAGAGGTACTTACTTGTTCACTGGGAGCTAAATCATCATCCTCATAGAGGATACATAATCATCATCTCTTTCTTACACCTCCTTCTTTTCTTTTAGTCCAACATGCAAGTTATTCTTCATTGGCATTTGTAGCCCATATGTCCACTTCGTCCACATCTAAAGCACACAATTTCCTTATGTTTAGGAGTTTGAAATTTGATATTAATCCTTTCTTCATCTCACCTTTTGATTCAAACATATCTTTAGAAATGAATTCCACAATGTTTCTTGGGATTGGATGTTTTAAATATTCTTCCACATCAAGGGTTGCTTGGTAAATTTGTGTTGTAGCTGTAGGAGGTTGTCGAATTAACTCTCTTTTAATATCAACACTCAATCCTACCTTGAACCCAAACACTGCTTTACCATCATCTTCGACTAATTGGTCCAGAATTTTTAATTTTTCAAACTTCTGTGACTCAGTTGCCAACATGCCCTGGACTAAAGTGTAAGGTTGATCGTGACGTTTGTCAAAGTAGTTGGGAGATAGAAACTTTTCATGAGGAATAGTTTTTATGTCATCCTATGTTTCAACTATTGGTTGTCTCCTAGTTATGTCTTTTGTCATTAGTATACCATCATATTTTTGCAAGTCCACCCAGCTTCATCTTGGCAAATCGAGCTCTTTGTGCATCTGACATATCAAACCAGTTGAAGTATTCTTCCACTAAGCCAATCAAGAAAGAAATCAATATCCCTTCTTCCATCAAACTCAGGAGGTTTGACCTTTACCTTCTTTACAATGTCTCAAGCATTATCCTCAGCATGTCTGATGAGCCGGATGAACTGATCCACATGCAGAATTTGAATTGGAGGACCTAGTTGAGTTGTGCGCAAGTGTTTCAGTTCTTCCAGGATTGCTTTGATAGAGTTTTGCATTGCTTCCATTCTAGTTTTAGTGGTTGCTTCAAACATCTCAAATTTAGTTGCAGCCAACAAGTTTTCTGTGTATGATGGGTTTTGTTGTAGTCAGATAGATCTTTGGGCAATCATCCAATCTGTGGATGAGGAAAGTTCCTATCCCTTGTAGCATCAGTTGTAGGTAAAGCTGAATTCAATTGAGACTGTGACACTCTTGAGCATAAAATTTCTGTGGCTTTTACCCTATTGGACTTCTGAGAAGACCTTTCAAGTGGTGGCAAGGGTTTAGGCCAGCCAGAAACTTGAAGAGACAATTATCCTCTACCATCATCTTGTAGTGGTTGCAGTATTAAATGGATTTCTATTCATAATCATTATTAGATCCAAGTCTAACTAAATTACAGCTGTAATTATAACTAGTGAGGAAATATCAAAATAATAAAATATGAAATTTAAAGTTTCTGAAATTCCTTAACGAAACTCAAAATAGACCAAAAAGGTCTAGAAATATTACAGATGATAATTAGAAGACACTTGCTCAATACTTTTTTTTTTAAAATAAACACTTGCTCAATAATGTTATTGTTCCAATTTAAGATCTTAGTTTTCCATCTCTCTGATAGTGCACTGTGCTTGATATTTTAATTACTGGAATTTTAAAATTTTTAAGCTTCACACATGCATTTTTCTTCATTATCTAATTATTCAGTTATTTGTAAATGCAGTGATTCCCAGGCCCAGATCAGGGGACTGTCAAAATCACAGGTTATTGCATCACATCAAAATTTGCAGCAACAAGGAAACAAAAGTATTACAAGTGGAAAATCTCATGTCTTGTCCAACGTGATCATATCTAAAGGAGTGGCGAGCTGGGATGAATTTAGGTACGGATTTCCATCGGATGGCTTAATAACTTGTAAGAACAAATGGTGGGGTAGCAGCAGTGCTGACCACGAAGATGGAGCTGAGACCGGCAAAAAAGACAAAGATCAATCTCAAGACCAAGAAAATGAGGACAGTGTTGGCAATTCTACGACATGTGGAAATAAGAAACATGAAGAGAGCAGCATCACTGGTTCAAAAATATCTGGTGGCCTGAAAGCCATTAGAAAGAGAGTCGCGGAAGAAGGACGAGAAGTTCTTAAACTCGGTGTATATCAAGGCCAAGGATTGAAGAAACTAGGCAGGAGAGAGAAGGGACTGCTTCTTCGGATATTCAAAACTTCATTGCCAGAAGAGTGGATATGTAGCTCCCCAGAAGTTACATCGTTGACATGCGAGGGCAACAATGTAAAGGATCAAGCTCCAAGTGCTTTGTTGTAATTTTCGATATTTTCAGTTCCATTTTCTGAGTTATCCAAACAAAATTCAATTGGGAAAAACTCCCTGTTGTGGATCAGAATTTGTATATCTGTTGTAAGAGAATCCTGAACTAAATATGACCCAAAGTAGAAATTTTAGCCACCTCAGGGTACATGAATATGTCAAAACTTGAAAGATATTTCTTACACCATAACTATTTGTCAGATTATGATCATGTAAAAAAATGCCATCAATGCTTGCTTGAATTGATCTTTGGCCTAATCTAATAGCAATTTATGTGCAGATGCATGAATTGCAAAACCACTTAACTTTGTTTGTATATGAAAAATAATTATACTGGTAGTTCTTCCTTATCC